TACTATTCCCCATAAAATGAATAAACCTAACCTTGCCCATTTCGGGATGTTACATCATCTGATAAATAGGATGAGATAGAGTATTTGAAGGATAATGAGCTACTAGTTGTGGTTATATGGCCACGGTGATGTAATAACCCAAAATGGGCGACCCCCATAACCTTGTCCATTCTGGGCAACTGCACCTTAAAATAGGATATTTTCTATATGGTAATGTGTTTTAGGATATAATGGCTACTAGTTAGGCCACGGTGGTGCAATTACCCAAAATGGGCAAGGCCTATCCTAACTCTATATCCCCAAGGGTCCCCCTAATCCTAGCTCCCAATACCCCTGTTGAGGGCTGTTCTGTCTTTAGCGGGCTAGGAGCTTGAAACGCAACCCCACATCTCAAGCCCTGCAGTATGCCCTACAGAGCAAGTAGAGTCGAGGGTGGGTTTAGGGTTTAGGGTTTAGGGTTTCTTTCCCAGCTGATGATCAGAGACTGGGTTCAAAAAAAGGGTTTAGGGTTTAGGGTTTAGGGCTTAGGGTCTCATCCTTAAACCCTAAACCTTTAAGCTTTCCTCGAGGACCTCAGAACTTATAGAGCCTACGGGCTCCAAACCATGGGAGCCTGACCGTAATATAGGGGCCTCAAAATTACGTATTGTATGGTTGGGTTTCCTTATTATAGTATAGTATACCACAAAGCCTTATGCTAAGTATAGGGGCCTTCATAATTACGTATTCTATTGGGTTTCCTTAGTATAGTATACCCCAAAGCCTTATTCTACGTATACCGGCCCCTACATTACAGTAGCCCTTAAGCCCTAAACCCTAAACCCTAAACCCTAAACCCTAAACCCTTAACCCTTAACCCTTAACCCTTAACCCTTAAGCCCTAGACTTAGAGCGACTGGTGTTTTAAGGGACCCCAAACCTGAAATCGGGACCGCCCTAAGTTGTAAATCCTAAACTCCCACACGTAAAGACTCGAAGCCCCGAAGCCCACGTGACTGCAGGATCTTTTGTGGAACCGCCTAGCCTCCTTCCAGTTCCTGCTGGGGAGAGGCCCAATCCCCAGCTTCAGAGCGATTTAAAGACCTGGGTATGATATTGAATCTATCAAGCTCGGGATTTAGGGTAAGGGTTTTCCCTTTGAGAGGTTCCGGATGTAGGATTTGGGTTTAGGAAGCAGAGCTCCCGCTTTTGCTCTGACGAAACCAGGCAAGATCATCGTTTAGGGTTTAGGCTCGATATTGCATTGGGGCTGTCTTGCGTGGTCTTTTGACGGGCTGTGAGGTGAAACAAGGTTTCAGGGGATGAGGGTAATATGCGATGCTATACTAGACGATGTCATAATCCTAGGCTCCATTCGTTAGTAGTATGTGCTATACCCTGTATAGAGTATAGACTTTACTTGAGCATGTTGCAAAGGCTTCTAAGCCCGAGGCCCCGAAAGCTCTGCTGAGCTTCGGTTGACAGCGCGGTTTGAGCTCCAGCTTTTCTACCCACCTAAACCCTAAACCCTAAACCGGAGCCTTGGAGCTTTTTGGATGAAACTCCGAGGTTTCGGGGTCATCGGGATGTGTAGGCCCAGACCACCCAGACCAGAAGAATCCGGACCCTGGACACAAGAATCTTCGAAGCCAAAAATCCGAAGCTCTGAAAGCTGCCCGGCTGCCATGTGCTAAAGCCCACATCACCTGCAGGCTACTTCCTTTTCACGCTGATCGTCTTCATCACTAGCCAGTCGCTGTTGATACCAGGGGAGCCTCAGCCAAAAGGTCTGTTTGTCGAAGCCAGGCTTTGAGGGCTGAGGGCTTCTTTCACGGCAAATTTCAGGGTCTTAAGATGTTCAAATTGGTCTGTGCCAGTGGGATAGGAACCTGGGCGCTTGCAGCATCACATGTTCTGTCCAGCCTGACTGGCTGCTGTGGCACCAACGAAAGCATCCTGCGTTTTGAGCCTCGGCACGGCCCGCTAAGTTGTTTGAGTCGAAACCTGAATCCCAAAACCTCGCGTACTCCACACCTGCACGAGCCTCGTTTCATCCTCGGGGCAACATCGAAATGCCGACGCTTGGAGAGGTTGCGCTTGTGCCTTTTTTTTTTTTTCGCTGTTGCTGTTCCTGTTCCTGTTGCTGTTGCTGTTCCTGTT